GCTATTGTAAAAGCTGGTTGCACTTTGGTTGGAAGATAAGACACCGCGTTACAGTCTTCGTGTGTTGGGTCAAGGTAAAGGGCTAACCGAGGGAGTGGCTGAGACCAGGGCTAAAACTGCTCTGCACAACTAAGACAGAAGAAGTAGTTTTCACTTGAAGCAGTGCGGGGTGGGGATGGGGGCGGAGTTTTACTTTTGTTTGGGCAGAGGCGGGGAGGGAGTGGGCCCTAGCATTAGGCTGGAGACCAGACAAGAAATAGCTACTCCCGTGGCAGAGAGGAAAGGGGGCAGGGAGTTTTGATGTCAGATTGTCACTTTTAAGTAATTTCCTGTTGGTTGTTATAATCTTCCTCCAGTAAAGATCTGCTCTTCTCAAAACCTAGAAATGTGTTGGAGACAGAGCTGTGTCTACACCAGGGGTGACGCGGGGAGAGAGGGGAGGCGGTGAGCACTGGGTTCAGTCAGATTTAGGGTAAAAACGTGACAGGGCATCATTAGAAAGTGGTGAGCACCCTCTCAGGGCCCTTGAAATTAGTCAGGAGAGTCCTGGGCTTACTAGCGATGTGAGCTGTGGCCCAGAATTTGCATGTGGTTGTTAATGAAAGGTGGGACATTTCAGGACCATGCAGACGTCAGGGGCAGTGTCTCCCTAACGGGGTGAGCGCGGCGTAAACCAAGGAGATACAGCATCGTCCCTAAGACGAGACATCTGTTCGTGAATATTTTTTTAAAGTCACTTCTGAATTCAACACCAATCACAATACGAGAGTCATTATCTGGAAGTCACGAGCCGTGTGGTCGCTTTCTCGCTTCATGAACTCAGTTCAAACTGATTGTCAGAACCTAATTAGGATGCTGGAGATACGGGTTTTCAAAAAGACCGTACGACCCAATGTGCCGCGTTAAGACACGGGGACACAGGACCCCCAGTGATGACACCCGGCCCCTGCGGGGGTGGAGGGCGCAGAAAGCGGCCCTGGTCACGCGTGTTGAGCTGAGGTGGGGACGGCCTGGGCCGGGGCTGGTAGCCCGTCCGCCTCAGTGTCTGCCTGAGCCACGGTTACCGCCCTCGGCCGCCTGGGAGCTGACAGGGACGGATTCAAGACCACCCTCAGCCACGGCACCGACGCGGGAGAGCCGGTGCGAGGTCCAGGGCCCTCCTGTCCCTCCGTGTGGCCTGTGAAGGAAACGGCCGCCGGCACCCTGGCCTCGTCCCCGTCCCCTCCAGGGCTGAAATGCTTTTCTTCCAGGCACGCGCTCGCTCCCACAGAAAGCTTCCGGCTCGCGAGGTGCTAAAGGTGACAAGTGTGTGAAGAAAAGGACGAAATAGCTGCTTACGTCCCAGAGGGACGGGGTAGATTCCTGGGCCGTCTGGAGGTTTGTTCCTGGCGGGGGCCGAGGCGGGGCACAGAGACCCGTCCCCCGGGCGGCTCCGTGCGCACGTGGCGCCTTGCGGGGCTGTGTCGTGGCTCGGAGCCCACCGGAGGGTTTTCTCAAGCTGCGGGTCGTGCCCGAGAGTGGCTTCGAGCTCGCTTTTCCTTCGCCAGGCTGCGTGGCTGGTGCAGTTCCCCGTCTAGGTGTTAGGATTCTCGTTCACACTGGTTCGTCGTGACCTTAAAGCATTTTCAGTATCGTAAGTTTCTCCTTTGGTAATTAAAAAAAAAAGCAAAATAATGGAAGTGCCCAGTGAGCTCAGGATTCGCTTCACCGAACCAGTTGAGAACGAGCAGCCGGGAGCCCACGGCCCGCGGGCGTCGGCCACGTGCGAGAAGCAGCCCGCGCTTTGCCCTTCCGCTGTCTTCATTTCGGTGTGTTTTGGGGTGCAGACGCGAAGGCCGGTCGTGCTTCCGATGAGCCTCTAGATTTCCCGGGGTTGCCGAATGCGGCACACAGTCCCCAAGATGGAAAGACGTTTGTGATGATGATCACTGTCGTCTTTATAATGGCCATCGCAGCTCCCCTGCAGGTAACCCGGGAGGCCCGGTAGTCAGTTCTGAGCTGCAGCCACCCACAAAAACCACACACATGGCATTTTACTCAAAACTTTTCACAACCACTTTGTGATGCAAAACTGGCGGAATTTTGGGTACTTTCTGTAAAATCGAAATCTTCATGGGGTTTTTCCAGCATCGTAGTTGATTGTTAACGAATGATCAGTGTAACGAAGAAGAGCAGAGCTGAGTTTGCTGATGAAACACGTTCCGTGGGCGGCCGGGCCGCCTGTCCGCAGCTGGAGGAAGCCGCGTCCCTGGGGAGAACAGCTCCTTTTGAAACACGCAGTTAGAGGTTCCTGCGAGGTTCGCAGCTGTAATACAGATTGTAGGGGCTTCTTGTCTTTGCCACAGAAGTTTTGGTCTTGACGAAGTCTTCACATGCAGTGCATTCTCATCTGCAGATCCTCTTAGGGAATAGATTTGAAAAGCAAAGCAAATGGGTGCGTGTTGTAGGATGAAACACAAGTCTGCTGAGGTGGGACGCGCTCGCTCCCGTTCAGCTAAGTCGGGAGACCTTTGTTTATTCTTGGGCCAGTGACTTTCCCTCTCTAAGGCTCAATTCCTTATCTTTAAAATTAGAGTTTCACTCCTGCCGAGTGATTGGCAGGCAGAGCACGTCTGTCTCCTCAGGAGCCTGCGGTAGGAGTCTGGTTATTATAGCCTGTTTTATGTAAAGGTGACTTTTATCATCATGTGTAATTTAAGCCGCCTTTCAGGCACATGTTTCGTTTTTCGAAATCTGTAAGAACATTATTTTAGCAAAAACTTACTCGATAAGGATGTAGTTCATGCTCCTTTTGTATTTATTTTTTTGTTAGGCGAGGCAACCCTTGATTGACCTCATGGATCGCAAGGACCTTGTCAGCTTACAATCCCTTATTTTTTATTTTTTACGCCTACAGCACCTGGTCTTCCTAGGTGTCTCCCATCCAAGTACTAACCAGGCCCGACCCTGCTTAGCTTCTGAGATCGGATCAGACCAGGCTTGTTCAGGGTGGCGTGGCCGTAGACTCCTTTTGTATTTAATATGAATTTCCGTTTGTGCAGCCCAGAAGTCAGAGCGACGGTCTCATGTTGAGCCTTAAAATAACCACAGGCACTCCTTGCCTTCCTGCACGTCGCTGTATTGTGCTTCACGGATGTTGCGTTTTTTTTACAAATCGAAGGCAAGACCCTCCATCTGTCAAAAGACAACTCGCTTTACTGCGGCAGTCTGGAACCACGCCTGCGGGGCCTCCGAGCTCTGCCCGTCTCAGAAACTTTCTGGCTGTTTGTCACGAACGCATGACCCAAACCATCCGCAGCAGAAGGATCCAGAGCTTTAACTTCCCATTTTATGTTTCACTTGAGTTTTCAACGAGTTAATTCCTTAGTTTACTGTGAAGATCTTGATTATTTCCCACCAGCACCAAAGGAAAGCTTTGTTTAGTTTGCCGCCGCAAAGACCGAGCTGCCGGTTAGCGTCCACGAATTAAGTAGGCTTGCTTTAGAATTTATGTCAGCAGTATTTAAACCAAGAAAGAGCCATCTCTACAGGAGCAAAAGCCACCATTTTCTGAAAGAACAACTGAATAAAAGTTGGCTAAATGAAGAACATGGAATAAAGAACATGAACTTGGTAACAAATCAAGTCGAATCAAATTTTTAAAGAATGAAATAAGAGAAGTTGTGTTTTGTGTGTGATGGGGGTGGGGCGGGGGGAGTGGGGACAGATACAGTTCTAAGAAAAGCACAGTGTGGGCTGCTGTTGGCAGCTGCTGGACCCGCAAACCAAGAATGCAGGCTTTATTTGTAGGGGAAGGAGGTTTATCATGACGTAATTTTAGGGACAGAAGTAGAAAAGGGCAAGATATTATAAACGTTGAAAAAGTAGGATGGCAGCTCCCAGAGCCTTTGATTTAATGAATGATTCAGTTGAGGAAATGGGCAAAATCTTGAACCTGGAACTGGCGCTATAGCGAACTTTAATCAAAGCCCCGAAGACGGCCTTGCACGTTAGGACCCTGCGACCCCAGTTATCGCTCAGCCTGATAGCACTGATTCTTCTTCTGGGCAGGTGACTTTGAAGGTGACTTGGACCGCGGTCCTCGAAATGGAAGAGTTGAAAAGGCCGCTTGTGGAGAGGTGAAATCGGTTCCACATCAAAGGCCGCAGGAGCTTAAACTTCCCGTTTTGCGGCTCAGTTGCAGGAGCTTTGTGTTCGCACCGACTCCCGGGGTGGGATGCGCGTGTGTCATGCGGGCGGGGCGGCATTCTTCTTTACTTTCCGCTTGAAGCTGTGAACTGATTGAAGATTTATGTCTTAAGTGACAGGATTCAGGCGAAACACGACAAACCTGAAAAAGCTGCAGCCTGAACATGTCGGTGCGGAACTTGGCAGTGAACTGGATGGGCCCTGGGAGACACCACACGCCCTGCCACGTCGCGCTGGGCCGCACGGGCATCAAAGAGGAACCACCTGGCGAGCAGGTCCTCACCGGCTGGGCGCGGGGGGTGGGGGAGGCGTGCGTCCTGGGCTCGCCCCACGGTGAAGATGGGGGTGCGCCGCACCGGCTGGGACCAGCCACTTGCCTTTTCAAGTTTTCAAATGTGTAAAGTAAAACTAGTCGTTTAACTGGACTGCCGTCCTGACCTGGTTCCCCACTGGAGTGGTGATTATCATCTACCCTGGCCTGGCGGGGCGGGCGGGGCGGGGAAACGGTGTCAAAAGCGCGGCCCAACCGCATCGCCAGGGGCGGGCACCGCCTTTCACTGCCTCTGCTGGAGCAGGGAGCTTTGTCCACAGTTCCCAGGCCTGCAGGGGGACCCTGAACCCCACCGCCGGGCCAGCGCTGCTGCCCCAAACGGCCGATGTCTGTACAGGCTGCCCTCGTCCAGTTACCATTAACCAGGTGAGCATTTTCTGAGTTAATCTGGTACCCAAACCAGCTGTGCTTCACGTTGGTCCTAAAGAAAGTACCTAACTGGCATAGCCATTAACACACCAAGGAAAGCAGAAACGAAAGCTACGTATTATTCTGCGTCATTTATTAAATATTTTTATATATACGTTTACAAACTTGAAGTACTCATTTCAGAACTCTGCTTTCAATACATCTTTAAACTTTTTTTGCAGAGACATTCTCTTGTAAAATGAGATCCATATACAAAACTAGGCAACAGATATAAAAGTTTCCTTTCATACTTTTCATCCATCAATGAAAGAAATCGTGTGACAAAGAAATAAAACCAAAATGTGGCTTTTTCGCAAGAATACCATGTCCGTGTTCAACTCCGAGTTCTAATGGGCTAGATCATGTTTCATCCTATCTGGAGGTACATGTTAATACTTCTTAGCTACTGTAGCATGTTTGGATGAAGAAAAAAATCAACTCTGGACTAAGTAATCTAGAGACCATCGATTATTCATTTCTTTACAACGCGTCACCAAAATTCACCTAGGAGATGACATCGATTGGCCAGCAGTAATGCATTTACCCCAAATGCTGCATAAAAAGTTCCCTTTAAAAAAAATTCATTACCTTCACCAGCGAAAGTCTGAGCCTCTAATTTAGCTCAGATTTAAAGAAATAGTTTAAATGATCAATTCAGAAGCTTAAAAGTATCTTCGAAACTAAAGTTGCTTTTCTTACAATGAATGCTGACTTGACAGTTCATAGACTTGGAGCGTTGTCACTATAAGACAGAGGCATTAATGCCGCTAGCGACGAGAAACAGTGTCACCACAGGATAACTACATGGTACGGAGTGCCCGGGGGCCTGAAACTCGCTATTAATGGGGTTTTGGCAGCAGCATCATTTGATACTTAACCGTTTATCACACAGCTTTCACACACCAGCTTCAAAGACGAACACTCCCTTGGGACAGGAGCTACAGATTTGTTGTGATTGCATAATCCGTATTGCACAGTTTTATAAAAAACATAAATACCTGCTATTCTAGTTTTAAATACAAAATACATGTCATAGAGTTTTAAATCTATAATCTGGTTCAAGTGCAAATCAAGTGCTTTCTTTAGTCCTTCCAAAAAAAGCATTTTTAATATTTTTGGCACAAATGAAATTTCATCATGCCAGGAATTCTAATTACAATACATATATCCAAACCTTTAGGGTAGTGATCATATACACACAGTATGGAACCGAGTATTTACAAATGCACTCAGCACCCGGGGCCACTTCGTGGGCGAGTCTGGGGGACTGGCCGAACCCGCGCCCCAGCAGTGAGGGTAGATGCGGCTCCTTCCCGCCACCTGCTCAGGCTGGCTGCTGCGGGTTGGCGTTCATGTGAGGAGGGTGCCCCAGGAGACCGATTCTCTGTTTCTGCTTCCTTTGTTCTGTCATCTGGAAAGTTAAAAAGTTTCATCATTAGCCCCAGACACTTCCTGTGCGTCAGATCAGATGCTGAACCATAGATTTACCTCTGTGGTTATGGTTTGTACTGAAAGCCACTTTCTACAAACAGTGTGCCGTCACTATATCAAACACACGGCTTCAGAAAGAGCCTCTTCCTCGGCAGAACGGGGAATTCTGTGACCTAGTCATGCAGGGTGACATTCAGAAGTGCTGCTTGCTACTTGTTTCCTAAAGAAACAAAGGACAGCAAGGGCACAGGATCCCGACTGTCTCCCAAATCCATCTCCAAATGAGGAGCGACTCCTTGGGAATGGCGGCTCTGTACGGCGGTGACAGCGGCGGGCTCTCCCGGGGAGCAGTGTGCTGGGAACCTGTCTGCGGAGGAGTCTCTGGTCCTCAGGGACACAGCACACCGAGGGGAGGAGGGCCGCCTGACCCTTCACGGAGGTCCAGGGTGACAGATACCTGGATGACACCCCGGCCACCGAGGTCCGGAGTGACAGTTACCTAGATGACACCATGGACACCGAGGAATGCCTGTGTCAGGAGAGACCACTCCCTAAGGCCGGTCAAATGAACACCTGCTGTGAAAGCCCAGGCCAGGGGGCGGGGCCTGTCATGCGGCTCCGCCCCCGGCGTTTCAGGGCGGTCCTGCCTTGGCACTCGGCCACCCGCCCCAGCTGGTCCCACGTGGGCTTTGCGGCTGGGCACTGCGGGCAACGGGGATGGAAAGGCTGTGTGAACGCACATTAGATAGAACTGTCGTCTACAAGTGGCCTCGGGGCCAGCGCCCAGATTTTCGATTTCCTAAAACCAGAAAGGAATTAGAGTGGAGTAGTAAAAAGACGGGGCTCTGGAATTAGACCAATTTCCTTACGTTTTTTTGTTACTGAACTTTCCAGTCTGTTTCTCCATTCATACTACCAGGGTGTAAGTCTTCTCTCCCGGCGGGGGATGGAGGGGACATTCAGTGTCACCTGTCGGGGCTTCAAGCTCAGTTCTTGCTTGGACTAGTTTTTGGTACTAATACCCGACAGATTGATCACAGAATAACTTACCTAAGTTCAACTTCAAAGTGGTGATTTTTTCCTATTTAAAACATAGCAGTTTTCCTTTCAAATCAAAATACTACTTTGAGGCTCCCGTGAAATGCCTTCTGTTAGAATTTAGAAGAGATTTACAAGGAGCCATTATTTCCAAAAGGTAGCTTTAAATAAAGCTTTTTAGAAAAATTGAATTAGGACATTGCAGTGAGTCTCTAAAGTTTCCTCATGAGGGGCAAATCTTTAAGGGACGTGTTCCACACTGTCCCTCCCAGATTCAGCTGAGGCGGGAGAATGGCACGTGGGGTAAGTTCACGGTGAGACCACAGGCACACCTTGCTCTACTGCACTTCTCAGATGCTGTGTGTTCCACAAGCTGAATGCAAGACCCTCCTCCAGCAACAAGATTCCACCCTGCTTTCTTGGGGTGGCCTGGGACCCGACCCGCAATGCCTCGAGGTCTGCCTGCACACCGTAATCAGCAATTCATGCACCTCAGCGCCCCATGCTTCAGCTAGTCAGATTGCACCCCCATCCCCAGCTATCCCCTTGGCAGGCAGTCGTGAGAGGGAATCCAATAAAACTCAACAGTCTCCAGCATTCTACTGAGTTTAGCAATCGTGGGCTTACCCCCCAGTGCAGGAGACTGCAGTCAGAGCTTCTACTCAGAGCTGCTGGGATCTTTCAGCTGTTAGCACTGGCCACTAAAGCTTTCCCCTCATTGTTCCACACATGACTGCTGTATTCGAGACGACCGCTTATGTGTGCACATCTTCCTGCCGGTCTGGTAAATGAGCTTTTCTTGACTTTTCAATCTGTCAATCATTCTCTTAAAAGCCTGTAAAACTATATTCCCTTATAGAGAACGTGTCTTCCGCCGAGAGCCCACTTCCTTCCCGCTTCTGCACATCACCTCATTATGGTCCCAATCCAATTTTCTAGGTTCATCGTCCTAAGGTAATGACCCATGCCCCTCCCCCTCTCCCTCATAAACCGTAAAGCTCCCTGCTGTAGGTCAGGGCCAGATGTGCTCAGGCAGTCACATTTCTGGTCATTCCAAGTACCTAGTACATACCTAATTTTCTTTTTTCCTAGAAAAAAGCGGTTCTTAAACTTCAGCATCATGCACCAGAATCACCCAGGAAGTTTGTCCAAACTCCAATGTCACATTTCTAACGCGTTTCCAGGTGACGCTGGTATTACTGCTGCTCTGGGAGAGAACTTTTCACTGATTTTCTCCAAAACAGGTCAATACCACCGTGGGTATATTTTCATATACTTGAACACTTTAATGTTTTCTAGGTAAGTATATGGTGTTTCTCAAGTGAGATAGAATCTTGGAGAAGAGTGTGTCTGCAGTTGAGTACGTATGTAGTAGGCACACGAATGTGTCTAAGTTCTGATCAACCATGGCCTTTTAGACAGATTGGCTATTATTTAAGTGACTAATAAATGAGAAGAAGGAATAGGACAGCTGCTTAAGTATTTGGCCCCTTTGGCCATGGTTGTCATCCATGCACAATCATAAGGGAACGGAAGCAAAGCCCCTGAGGTCTCACTCTGGCCTGCAAGCAATGGAGGTCAACACGCTGGCCAGTTAGGTCTCCCTGGCCCATTAGTGCAGGTTCTCGTGTAAGTTCTGGCTTTATGAGCTCAGTTCTACCTACCTACTTGCCTGTTTACCTTTAACTCAGTTTTACCTATATACCTGCCTACTTCCACATGCGTGTGTGCACACGCACACATGATCTAGATCTTGAAGCATCACTACTACCTGTTACTGTTACCTATGTCAAAACAAATAGAAACAATGACCAGTCTGTCCTTCACATATTCTTATACAGTACCCAGTGGACATTCATAAATACGGAGACTAGCTGGACGCTCGTCATTCCTTCTGACGCAGCCTAGACAAGTGGCAAAGGCTCCTGCGGCCGAACGCGGAGACCTTTCACGAAGATGCTCGGTGGACAGCACAAAGGGGCAAGCGGTCATCTGTGGGGCCCTGAGCGGCCAAAGGCCGGCGCGGGAAGGACGGACGACCGCGAGCTGCCGAGGGCCGCAGTCTGGTTTACAGTGGCCCTTAACAGTCCTTGAAAAACCACTTTCCTGCCGCAGCCAAGTCCTGGCTACTCATTGCAGACCGCCAGGAGCTGCGGTCACCAGAACGGCCTTCCACGGCGCGAGCCCCGAGCGCGCCCGCGTGATGAGCCCGAGGAAGGCAGCGGGAGCGAGGACGACGGCCTGGCGGCCACCGGGAAGGCTGCCCACGGTCTTAGAGCCTGTCCTTGCCACGTCCCCCGTCCCCCGGCAAGCTCGCTCCAGCTCCGACCCCGAGCCGCGGCACCGCTGCCTGCGAGGAGCTCTGTGCGGGCGCTCGGCTGCTCCCCGCTGCCCGAGATGGGGTGGACCGGACCCCCTGAGAGATGGGCGGACCGGACCCCCGGGAGATGGGTGGACCGGACCCCGGGAGATGGGCGGACCGGACCGCCCACTGAGAGGCGGTGGACTGAGCCACTCCCTTGCCGTCACCCCAATCTCTTCGCGCCCCTTACGCGCTTACCACACTGCACCGCAGCTTGTCTGTTTACTTGTCCCCCACTCCAGACTGCGAGTTCCTTGAAGAAGGGACAGGCTCCCTTCGTCTCGTGACCCTGGGCTGCACCTGGCCAGTGGGTGACCGACTCGGGGTTCAGAGAACAGGCGGGCTGGGCGGGGCGGCGCCGCCCCTGGCACGCGTGTGGCTTCCCGCCTGCGCTCCCCTGCCAGCTCGGAAGTCGCCTGCTCCTGAGGCTGCAGGCGCTGACCTCCGCGGACACCCAGACCTCCCGGGGCGATGACACGCCTCTCTGCCTCCATGACACGTGACGCACGCCCGGCTCCGGCTCCCCGGGGCCCCGGCCGCCTGCTGCTGGCAGAGGCCGGCTGTCCCTGCGCGGGTTCCCTCGGTCCTCTTTAGCGGCTCCTACGCCGCCGTGGGAGGACATGAACACCGCGTAAGGTTTCCTAGGCAGCCCAGCTCCGGGGCCTGCCCTCATCTTGTGGCCCCTGCCTTCCACAGTTAACGTGGTCCCCTGGCCCTACCGTGAGAAAACGCCCCACGCAGTAACATGCCAGCCTGGTCTGACTGCTCACGCCCTTCTGGTGTTCCCGACCCGGCTCCTGTCCCACACCGAGCCGCTCGCCTTTTCAAGAACGTGAACCTTCTCTTAGTAGTTGCTCTTCTCCGTCATGAAGAAATGTGCAAGAAAAGTTTAAGTTCCTACGTCAGTCCTCCTCGGAATGAGAAAGGAGGAGAACCACATCCAGCATCGCATCTCTTGGGAGGGAAACTCCCAAGGTGAAAGGCATCAGGGAACCCTTAGAACGGGAACTGGAACTGGTTGTTCCTGGGAATAACGGAAAAGGTGACACTACCAACCAGGTTTTCACTAATATCCTTGATAAGACCGTTTTTTCCCTCGAATTGGTATTGTAAGAAAACAACCGAAGGGGTCAGTAAAGATTGAAACCAACGACTTTCACACCTAAGCTGTCATCGCTCCCTCACGCTGGGTTCTGGACCAGAGATCTGGAAAAACGTCTAAGTGGTGAAGCAATTTTTATATTTTCCAGTATTTCTTCTTTTTTTTTTAAATCTTTGCTCACTAATCATTTGTGGTTTTTATGTTTTAATTCGAAACTTTTCCCTTTGGAGGGCAGGAATTCCCACAGTTCCCATTTAGGGACCAGCAGCTCTCATCATAACGTGCTTTTTTCCTTTTGCAAAACAATTTAAGAAAACGTTATGATTGTTATGCACCAAATTTAATAATATTCAAATCTTTTCAGTAAGTTAATTCTCAAATAAATTTATTAAGGGTTTATTGCATAATCGAAAGAAAATGTTGATGCATTCCTTTTGAAAGAGGCCAATTTCGCCCAATAAATGAAGCTGCACTGAAATTTTCCCATAATTCTGGGCACTTTAAAACTAATCAGATTAATCCTGATAAAGGCGCCAGAAAATATATTACTGGTTTCCACATGTATCTTTTTAGCCTCTAATATTTTCCAAGAAAAAAACTGTTCGATTTCATATTCATTCGCAGGAAAAGGTTTTCTGAGTGGGTCCAACTACTAACTGTAAAAGAAAAATGTAAAAATGGCTGAAACCGAGCAGTGTAAAGCATTCTGGTTTTGATGTCATTTAATGCACCTTAGTCCACATGTAGTCAAGTTTTACATATTTTGTTTAAGCCAAAATTTTGGCTCAATAGAAACAATTCTATCTTGTATTTTAAAAACGCCAATTCTCTACCATGCTCAGTTGTATAAAATGGCAAAATATTCCTCCACAGTGGTTAAGTGCGTGATGTAACTTCGGGCACTTTAAGGCTCTTTTTAAAAGCACGGATAAGAGTTTAAACAGTCAGCCATGAAGGGCAAACAGGGTACGGCGACAAAACACGCGAAAACCACCACACACACAACGCAAAAAATCGAACCCAGACCGTAGGGCCGGGCGCTCCAGCCCTGGCACCGTCACGTGCAGCTGCATCGGTTCCCTCAGGGCCTTTGTGTCCCTCGGCACCGTCACCAAGGAGGGGCGGTGACACCCACGGGCCTGGGTACCTCCCACACCTGTTCTCCGGGCAGCTCCTCCGCTCCCCGGCTCCGCAGCCAGGCTCGCTGGTCCGCGGTGTGCCTCGAGGCAGCGCCAGGAGCGCCCTCGGCGAGCAGTCGAGGAGGACGAGTCCCCACTGAGAGGGGCCCGCGTGGTGGAGCCACCGCCAAGCACCGACGCGAGTTTGTTTCAGACCCGTCTGAAGATGGCACCGCTTTACAGGGATCCGAGGCGTCCCCCCGCTTAAGTCTGTATTAGATCGCTCTGGAAGGCTTGGGGACATCTATTAAAACATCCGATTTAACAGATTCTCGGAGCCACGGCTCTCTCAAAAGGGAGAGGGGGTAACTGAAGCCTCGGCAGATGTGGTAAGGGGTCCGCCTGGCTCTTCAGGGGCCCGGCAGAAGCCGCTGTCCAGTCCTGGGGAGCATTTGTCAGATGGTGCACAGCAGGGGTTAAAAAGTCATTGAAGTAAATAAGCAAAGTACCCTAGTTGGATCACTATTAGTTTTACTTACTTAGGTTATTTTAGGTGGCCACCAAGCTCGGTGCTCCAGACGGCCCTCACGAACAAGGCCTCTGTCCTCATTAGTTTTTATTTGCATCTTAATACATGTGATAGAGAAGACCTTGAAGCCGAATTATATCTTGGGGCACGGTTTGGAATAATTTAATTGGAAAAGAAATATAATTCAAAGTAAGACTGTTAAAAGTGCTCCATAAGCCGTCAACGAGAAGAGAAGGCTTTATTCTGGATGGTTCTGCACTGGCTCTCTGTGCCTACGAATGATGCATCACCTGTGGGTGCACCCTGACCTTCCCCGGGGCAGCCTTGCCTGGTAACTGTTGCTGTGCAGAGGTCCTAATCTTGTCACCTACAGGAAGCGCCTGCTCGCCACCCAGGGCGCAAGTCCCCAACACACAGCCACATCCGTCACTAGATAACTGCCCGGTGGTCGTGCCTGTTCATTTTAAGGGAGTCGGAAGGGGAGAAAAAAGAAGTATGCAGGGTTTGGTACAGACCTGCCCCTCCCCTGAGTGACAGGGCAAAGCGTTTGTCACGGCCGGGGACAGGCCGGGCAGGGCTGTGCAGACTGCTGAGCTCTGTGCGAGCAGGCAGCTGTCTACACTGCTTGGTGTTTCACCCTCGGCACCGGGCACAATGCCTGGACTACGGCAGCCACTCAGTAAGGATCTGGCCAGTGGACGAACCGAAAGGGGCTTCTCCATGACCTTGGTGTATCCCTGGAGGCTGGATTTCAATATCTTGGGTGAAGAGTTAGTAGATTTGAGGGCTCAGAAACAAAATCAGAAACAGCTTTTAATCTCCTGTCAGTGAAAACAGGCAAGGGAGGATAGCTTCACACGTGGTGTTTTTTGGACGGCACTTCATCGAAGTCGTTTGCATTTTTCCATTTTCGGGTTTTGTTTTTCATTTTAAAACCTCACCCTTCAGAGCACGGAAGGCAGTGTCATGAGCTTATCCTGTGAAAGGCAAACTGGTGGACTAAATGAGTCTGTCCTTTGTCGCCCGGTCCCTTTTCTATCCGGGTGACGGAAACGTCAGCATTTTAACACGAGAGCCGCTGAGTTTTTCCTCAGCGGACCGGGTGTGCATGGCCGAGGGGTGTGCGTGTGTGTAGGTGGCCGGGATTTCTTTCTTTACCTGGTCCTTGAGCTCTGACAGCTGGCCAGACAGATTGGTGACCAGCTTCATGGTGGACTCCAGCTTCTCCTGCAGATTTCTCAGCTCGTTCTGTTCCCCTTCGGAGTCGCTGCTGACCAAGGACATGGCTCGCATCCTGGGGAACCAGTCGAGGTTCCTTTCCTAGAATCCACGTTGGGGGGGAAAAAAAAAAGCGGGAGTCACTTCCGGGAGTAGGGACAAGGAGGAGTGACATCGAGCCGTTTGCCTTCGCGCCATTTCTCACGGGGCGACCTCTGTTTGTTGCAGAACTAATATACTGTGTCCTTTTCGCCCATTTAGTGCATATCTTTTTAATCGAACAGACGTGAACTCTCTCAATTCTTAGAAGTCACTTTAAAATTAAACGGGAAAAGTGGGTTTCCAACGAGATTTCTAATCGGCAAATGTGAGTGCTGCTACCACGAACCCGATCTTTGCAAATCACGTGGCGGATGGGTTTCGGGTTTTAAAATGGGGGTAAAATAACATATGATAAAATTGACCGTTTCAACCATTTTCAGGTGTCCGGCTCTGTTGTGCAGCCGTCACCACCCCCCGTCTCGGGAACTTTCTTCATCCTCCCGAACTGCAACTCCATCCCCGTTAAAAGACAACTGCCCTGCCCCCA